CAGCAGTTGAAGGTTTCTGAGGAATCCAGACCCTATTTGACTATAAATACCCATTTGGGTTTGTTTAGGTACACTAGGCTACCTTTTGGTATTTCATCGGCTCCGTCCATCTATCAGTCGATAATGGATCGGGTGCTTCAGGGTATTCCCAGTGTAGGCTGTTACATTGATGATGTAATCATATCAGGCTATGATTTACAAAGTTGTAAACTTAGAGTTGAGCAAGTTCTTTCTAGATTACTAGATCATGGTATAACTGTAAATGAAAAGAAGTGCAAGTTTTTTGAACCTAGGGTAGAGTACTTAGGTTATGTGATAGATGAACAAGGGTTGCATCCCATGTTAAGTAAAATTGAAGCCTTGCAGGAAACTAGGCCCCCTCAAAATGTGAAAGAGTTAAAAGCCTATTTAGGTTTATTAAACTATTATCATAAGTTCATTCCGAATATGTCAACAAAGCTTGAACCATTGTATAGGCTATTGCAAAAAGATGTTAAATTTATATTTGGTGAAGAGCAAATGCATACCTTCGAAGACAGTAAGACTTGGTTAAAAAAGTACAATGTTTTATGTCATTATGATCCAAAAAAGGAACTTGTGCTTTGTTGTGATGCAAGTTCAGTAGGTGTTAGTGCAGTAATCTCAAACAGAGAATCAGATGGTAGCGAGAAACCGATACATTTCGCATCTCGTACTTTGTCGAAACATGAACAAAACTATGCGCACATAGAAAGAGAAGCGTTAGCAATTGTGTTTGGGTTAAAGAAATATCATAAATACTTGTATGGACGATCTTTTATTTTGCAAACAGATAACAAATCTTTGTCGATCATACTGCACCCCAGTAAAAACATACCCGCAATGGCAGCAGTTCGTATGCAGAGATGGGCATTGCTTCTCTCGTCATATAATTATAAGGTAGAGTATTGTAAGGGTACCGACATAGGTCATGCTGATTTTTTGTCTCGCTCGCCCTTGCCTAATACGGATGATCCTATTAGTTGTGAAGTAAATTATTTATCTCCTACTCGATGTAAGCCTTTGTCTGCATATGACATTGCTGCCGAAACAAAAAAAGATGTTTTGCTTTCAAAAGTTTTGGATTTGACTTTGGTTGAAAAGGAATTAGAACCTTTTTTCAAACGTAGAAATGAGTTGTCTATTGATCAGGGTTGTATTTTGTGGGGTAACAGATTGATTATTCCATATAAGTTAAGGAAAGAGGTGTTGGCTCTCTTACATGAAGAACACCCTGGCATACTTAGGATGAAAATGTTGGCACGTAGTTATGTATGGTGGCCTAACCTTGAAGATGATATTATTAATGTTGTTAAGTATTGTCAAGTTTGTCAATTATCTCAAAATGCGGCTCCTAAAGTCCCGCTAACCCCTTGGTCTGTTTCTACCCGAAGGTGGGAGTGTTTGCATATTGATTTTGCTAAGAAGGACAATAAGAATTTTCTTCTTGTCATTGATAGTTTCTCAAAGTGGACTGAAATATTCATTATGGATAGTACAAATGCTAGTTGTACGATAGGTAAACTGAGAACATTGTTCTCAAGCTATGGTCTACCAGAGAAAATTGTATCAGATAATGGTCCTCCTTTCAGTAGTTTAGAGTTTGAAAAGTTTTGTGAAATGAATGGAATCAAATTGATCCATAGCCCACCATACCATCCGTCATCAAATGGAATGATTGAACGGTCGGTTCAGACATTTAAGAAAAGTTTGTTAAGGTCACTTATTGAAAGTAAATTTCTTTCAAAACAAAATATCAGTTTGCAGCATAGAATTGATAATTTTTTGTTCGCTTATCGAACAACTCCTCATTCTTTTACTGGCCAAGCTCCTTCTGAGCTTTTTCTCAAGTGTCAACTGAGAACCCGTCTCTCTAGTCTTAAGCCAAATCTGTGTAATAGTCTTAAGAAAAAGAGATCTGATATAGCTAATAGGCTAGTTAAGAATGGTAGGCAAACAAGATGTTTTGTGCCAGGTGATAACGTACTTGTTCGTAGTGTCAGGGGAGAGGAAATTAAGTGGTTTCCAGGTGTGATTGTAAGAAAATTAAGTAATGTAACTTATACAGCTCAGGTTAAGGACCAAACTAGGTTTGTTCATGCAGATCACCTCAAGCCATATTTTTGTAAACCAGAGTCTAGGTTGTTAACAAAAGTAACTGCTCCCATGTTCGTGAGCCCTAACGATGTAACTGATAGAAGTCAGAATGTTGACAGTCCTAAAAGAAATGTCGCAATTTGTAGTCCTAAACAAAAAGTGTCTCCTGATAAGTATGCAAGACATGATGAACCTGTAGAGCAGACACTTGGTAATGATCAGGCTAGTAAGCTCGCTAGATCGGAGGAACCTGTTCAGATGTCGTTGAGCCAAGGTAGGGCTGTTAGAAACAAGAAGGCTCCTGACCGATTAAACCTATGAATTGTAAATATTGTTTTGTACCGAAGAATTGCTATATTGTTGTATTAGGCTATATTATATTGTTTTGTACTGAAGAATTATTTTTGTTAGTGTAAGATGTTTAAATATTATTTAATTTCAACAAGTTTGTATACAGTACAGTGTATACAGTAGAACATGAAAATTGGTTAATTTTGATTTAAGTTGTAAGTTGTTATTGTCTTTACCAGATGTAACTTGAAAGTTGTGATTTTAAATTTTTATTGTCTTCATCATTTATGTAACTTGAAAGTTGTTGTTAGTTTTAGTTTCTTCTGTCTGTATAAAAAAAATATAATAATTTAAAAGGGCCTAACTCAACAGTTATATTGTTAAATTTAGTTATGTTGTGAAATTCAATTATTTTGTTAAATTCATGTGGAAGTTAAATTTTTATTTTGCTACAAGCCTTGACATAAGGAGGGGAGAATGTTATATATGTATACTTAGATCTTTACTTAAAGTCAATTTGCTTTGTCATGTTGGTTACATGCGAGGATAACGAGAAGGTTGTATTTCCTCCTTCTTCATATAATGGTTCTCTCAAGATGTAGACGTCAAAATGTGCTATCTTATTTATGTTTTAATAAACATGTATTGTTTGGCCAATGTGAAGTTCTTATTCTATCCAACAGCGCTAAGCGACGATATATCGTGCCGGTGCGACTTTCAATCACGTGAGTTTAAATGAGCATATCGGTTTACTCGGTTGTAGTTTCGAAACAGCGATGGTTTCTTTCGATTCCTCATATGATCAAGGCCCGATATATCGTTCCTTAGCACTTTTCGGACGAAATAAGTAAATAACTCTAGGGTTTTTTTGGGAAACTACAAAGAAATATTCAAGCATCGAAAGGGTTATACAAAGATCTCCTCTTAGAGTTATTTGCCAAGAACTTAGTGTCTAGTCCTACTGACTTTCCGTGCCCTCGAAGAAGCCAAGAGATCTATCACTCTGTGATGCTTTTTTGTGGGGAACACTAAAGGAAAGGTGTTTCATGCCATCACCACTGAGTATCCATAATCTTAAGCAGAACATAATTTCTGTTTAAATGGTATCACTCTACAACAATGTTCAGGAATGGTTGAAAAAATGCAAAGACAAATGGAGTATGTAATAAACAATGATGGAAAACATATAGAGCACTTAGTTTTATGGTAGAATATGTTTTTATAGCTAATAAATAATAATTTTGCTTTGAAATGATGAGTACCTTTTTTGGGCCACCCTGTATAGTGTAAATATGCAGGTTACGAATCAAATTAAAAATAATATGAGGACAATCTGCAGATTATGGTCTCCAACAAGCTACTGTCGCGACGGAGCAAACTGGTTCAAATCCAGACCAGCACTGTCTTCTTTCTCCTGATAATCTGGAAATATTAGATTTGTTTTGGGGATGAAGCTGGAAGTTGTGGAATGTTTACATATAAAAACATCGTTGAATGCATAATATTGACCAAGTGCTAGTGATACTTTAATACTTTTCAATGAAATGGCGACCATACAAAGGAGGTATTTTAAGCCAAGTATGAATGGAGATGAGTGTAGGATGAGTGGCGCGATAACTTTTAGTACCTACACTCAAGTGGTGGTGGTGGTAAAATTGCACCAAGAGATAGTGGGTTAGGTGTACTTAAAGGCAGTTGTTATATGTGTAGACTCTGGAGTAGTAACGTAATAGAGACATACAATGCTAGAGGTATCAAAGAAGAATAAGCTGCTAAAACAAGATCAAAATAAATATTTTAATTAACAACATAAAATCAAATAATTCATTTACCATCATGATTCCAAAGCTTTAGCAGCTTTCAACTTGATGGATTCGGCCATTTCTCTGAGCTCGTCACGATTCTTCTGAACTTCCTGTAACTTCTGTTCAGTTTCCTTTAATAGGTTCTTGAGCGTATGATTAGCTTCAATAAATTCCTTGACTGATTCAAATTTTAAATCCAGTTCTGAACATTCCTCAAACATTTTCTTACTAGAACCTTCTGAAAAATAAACACTAAATACTATTAATAACTAACTGTGTTTGGAATCAGTTGGCCTAATTAATTTTAGGCTAGTTATGGTAATATGCTGTATCAAGAACTGATTGTCTTCGGAACTAAAATGAAAAGCGTATAGAAACAGACATCAGGAGAAAGCTCTGAATCTGCTGGAAAAAACTATACCTAACTCGATCCAGTTCAATCCGATTCAGTCAGTCCCAGAGCCGTCGCCGTAAACAGTGTTTGTGAGTCGCAAAAGTGAGTCGACACATTACACTACAGTGGATGTGTTATGAGTCGCTTTTACGACACATAACACTCGGAGGGTTAAATTCTCGGTTGCTGAGTTATCGCTACCTACCGTAAATGTAGTGGGCCTAAGCCATAAAATTTGCCCCCTCTAATACAAGGCTGCAACGTTGGGTTGAGGCAGCGTCACACCGCCTGGCGTCTTGCCGTGGTAATAACAAATGTGTAGCCTTAACATAAACATTGTGCAGATGCTCCATTATGAATTAGTGCAACAGCTTTTTCGGTAGGCTAGGACGGAACATTCCCTTTTTCTCTATTAGAGGAGGCTATGAGTAAACTTATACGCTTAGGCCTAGCCTAAGTGAAAGTTCTGTAAGTAAAATTTTGTAGACCACACAACTCGAACCAAAATTTAAAAAATAAGGTTAGCTATCCCCAATTTGTATCTGAGACAATAGCCTATCTTAGTGGGAGTAACAAGTGAGTTACAAATCTGAATAGGTACAATAATTCGATATAAAATTGCACACACTTACCAACGAATACTGGATCATTAGTGGCAGCCCCTTTGATATCCTCTATTATTTGATCGTTTGTTGGAGGCACAGGCAAAGGAGGGAAAGAAAGCTCACTTTTCTTCTTGAACATTTTTAAGTTAACCGGAACTTCAAACTAATCAAATCCTAGTTTAGAAACAACGGTTTGTAATCAACACTTACATACTAAGATTTTTAATAGACATAAATTTGTCTAAAAAAATATCAAAAATGATGTTTTTTTTAATGAGGTTATGTTTATGTTATTTTGTTATTGTTCTGTTCCATGCCGTGATGTACTTTTTCTAGTTTGTTCTTTCGGCAGACATAGGTAGTTGTCATGTAGCTTTATACACTAGTTCAGGTCCGTGAAGTTAGCCCCCCCCATAAAGCTAGCACTAACAATAAACAATAAAACTAGTATTAATGGTTAGTGCTGGTTAGTGCTTCAACTCCCATCGTAAGTGCTCTTACGGTTCAGGAGCTATAACCAAAAAACTGTGGGTGGGGCCAACTTCACGGAAGTTAGCCCCCCCCCAGTAGTAATATGTGAGCACTAACTTTCAAAACTGTACCAACGGTTAGTGCTTCGTTAGTGCTGGTTAGTGCTTCAACTCCCATCGTTAGTGCTCTTACGGTACAGGAGCTATGACCAAAAAACTGTGGGTGGGGCCAACTTCACGGAAGTTAGCCCCCCCCCCCCCCCAGTAGTAATATGTGAGCACTAACTTTAAAAACTGTACCAACGGTTAGTGCTTCGTTAGTGCTGGTTAGTGCTTCAACTCCCATCGTTAGTGCTCTTACGGTTCAGGAGCTATAACCAAGTGAAGTTGGCCCCACCCACAGTTTTTTGGTCATAGCTCCTGTACCCTAAGAGCACTAACGATGGGAGTTGAAGCACTGACCAGCACTAACCGTTGGTACAGTTTTGAAAGTTAGTGCTCACATATTACAACTGGTGGGGGGCTAACTTCCATTAAGTTGGCCCCACCCACAGTTTTTTGGTTATAGTTCCTGAACCGTAAGAGCACTAACGATGGGAGTTTAAGCACTGACCAGCACTAACGAAGCACTATCCGTTGGTACAGTTTTGAAAGTTAGTGCTCACATATTACTACTGGGGGGGGGCTAACTTCCGTGAAGTTGGCCCCACCCACAGTTTTTTGGTCATAGCTCCTGTGCCCTAAGAGCACTAACGATGGGAGTTGAAGCACTAACCAGCACTAACGAAGCACTAACCATTAATACTAGTTTTATTGTTAGTGCTTTTATGGGGGGGGGGCTAACTTCACGGACCTCACAAGTTCGTCTATACTTTAGTACTTTAGTCAGTATAATATTATTATTAATTGTTTCCTACAGTGGTTAATGATAATAATTTTTGTACATGTGAAACAAGCCGACTTATTATTTAAACGTAGATATTTTAGTTTGGTTGTTCATTAGCTGTTTTTGTTACAGTATTTTATTTTTGTTCAGTTCGCCGACACTTTAAACCTAACATGGGCTCTTATGGGGAATAGATTTAAAGCCTTAATAACCTAACGTAAGTAACTGCTATTTTTATCCCTGAGCAAATTGTCTTTTAATAACTCTCTGTAGACCATAATCCAACTTTTAATGTTTGTGCGCAAAGAATCGGCTTACGTAATCCTACTAATCTATATATTAATTTGAAACTGTTTTTCTTTGTGACAGCTAATTTAAGATTAATCAGTGTGGCAGATTGCGTGTAATAAATATAAAGGTTACTTACAGTCTTCGCAATCCTGTTAATTGAGCACTACGGCCGTTTCGGAGATAACTCCATCGTCGGGTGCGTAGTCATTATACACTAATCTGAGCTATTTACATATTTACATTTTTTACGTGGTTTCTTCATTTTCATTGCGTCAAAGTTTAATAAATAGTACATACAACACAAAACACGGAAATGTTTTCGTGTCGTGTCCGTGTTTTGTGTTGTATGTACTATTTATTAAACTTTGACGCAATGAAAATGAAGAAACCACGTAAAAAATGTAAATATGTAAATAGCTCAGATTAGTGTATAATGACTACGCACCCGACGATGGAGTTATCTCCGAAACGGCCGTAGTGCGTAATAATATAATAACAATTAACAGGATTGCGAAGACTGTAAGTAACCTTTATAGCTAATTTAAGAGAACGGCTGGGCGTAGAAACTCGGTAGAGGTGTCTAAAGAAAGGGCTTGGTCTGTAGATAAGCCATCAAAAGAGAAACGTGGTAAATTCCCTTGGGGCTCTGCCCCAGTGGCCTTTAAATTCCCATCCCATGTTATTCTTATGGGGGAAAACGGGTTTTTGTCACAGCTAATTTCAGAGAACGGCTGGGCGTAGAAACTTGGTAGGGGTCTCTATAATTTCGATTATATCTAACTGTTGTGTAAATCGTTGTTGTGTACATCGTGAATATTTCCATAATCTTTGAGTCGACTTTTATAAAGTCATCGGAAATTATGACCGTTATTCGTTTTAAAATAACGCCTGTTTAGCAATTGCTCGAATTCGAGCAACAGGTACACTAGTATTATAAATGTGAAAGTTTGTGTGTTTGTTTGAAGTTCAAACACGCATAAATTACTAGTCGGATTGGGCTAAAATTTGGCAAAATGATAGCTCAAATTCCAGATTAACATATACGCATATTTTTATCTCAAAAATCCTTTCGGGCTCCTCCTTAGTGGTTCTGTTGTTCACGTCCATGTCACTGGCCCGGCCATAACGGAATTAATACATAAGCATTATGCTAATATTTATTACCTATTTAGTACCAACAAACACAAAATTAGTACCCCATGCGGATGCGGTACCGCGCATTACTAATTAATTTAGGATTCCAGGCCAGTGACACGCTGGCCCGGCCATTTTCGAATCTGATCCTAATATGTATACCATCATTTAGTACCTATTTCGTACTATTTTGTACCTCCATTAATATAATTTGTACCTCAAAGAAAACCAAGCTACGGGCCCTTAAACTGTACAGGTCAATGACCCCTCAGCCCGGCCATATCGTAATTAACCTGTAGCTTGTTGTGCTATCTGGGAACTAACATATTTTGTTGAGAAGGCCATGTGTGTGTAAAATATTTAATGTTTAGTGCTTGTCTTACTGTCGGTATTGGACTGGGACGGTGGGGAGTATTTCAAAAGTTCCAAAATCGGAAGATCCAAAGAATATATTGCCGATCGGAAGTTCCAAAATCGTAAGATCCAACGTTTATATTGCCGATCGGATGTTCCAAAATCGGAATTTCCAAAGGTTATTTAGCGGGTCGGAAGATCCAAAATCAAAAGATCCAAAGAAAATATTGCCGATCGGAAGTTCCAAAATCGTAAGATCCAAAAGTACAGTCATAACTAGAAGTACAAATTTATTTCTTAAAGTAAACTTATGAAATAGACTGTCCTTTTCACTTTGGAACTTGTGATCATATGCCGGGTCGGAAGATCCAAAACTCTAGTAATCAGATCGGAAGTTCCAAAACGCTAGAACTGTTGCGTCTCTCAGATTGAAGGCGTTTAAACACACGTCGTCACCAGCAACGTTAATGGTTATTTGTTTTGTTAATTGATATTTTAATTAATATTTTTGTATTAGTATTTTCAAGTACACACACTTAAATACACACGCATTCATACATACATGTATATATGGGATTTTGAAGGCATGCAGGGCTAGTGTTGGTATTGTTTACTATTTATTTTCAAAAGTAAAATAACGTGTTTATTTTTATTCTTAAAAGATGGTTTAAGTATTAACCTTGACAATAACAATACTAAATTATCTGGCAAACGTCTTAAACAAATAATAACTTATTTTTATAGCTTATGACAATTTTTGTTTACTCCGTAAGAGAATCTAGAATAAATCATTTGAAAAATGAAAAGATAATGAATTTGTCGTGGTTTATTTGAGCTGAATTATTAAGTTGTAATAGTGTACTAGTAACCAACGCTAAATATTTGAAGTTGTTTCCGGTTGTTGTAACAAACAGGTAGTTTCAAATTTAATTAAATTGAAATTGTAACGTTAAATTATATTTAGTTTTCCCCACAACTAGCGAATGTCTGCTGTAACCTAATTCAAGTGAAATGTAATTTTTTCCTTACAAAGAATGTGTTTTATCAGGAAATGTAAAATGTTCAACTGTATATCAAACATTTGCGTCTAATCAAGTTTTGTTGGAGATTCAATTTGTGTACCTAAGTAAAAGGTGTTGTTGTAACAATTTTAAGTCATGTTTGAAAATACTTATTGTTCTGCAAACTATCGCTTAATCGTTGAAGATATGAGAATTGACTTATACGACATAGTTTTTTGGTCTTTATATGTGTAAATAGCTGTTCTGAATTAAACTGTTTAAAAAATTGACTACTCGATTCCCGTGCGTTCGACTGACCAACATTTGTACATTAACTCCCTTTACTATTCAAATACTGTTTGCGTAACTGTGATGTATATGGGTTGCGTTCTGAATCACAAGGCACTGTAATTATAGATAGGGCTCAGATTATTAATTGACGAATATTGTGTAAATAAAGCAATTGTTTTAAATCCGCTTATTAAAAGTATGCTATCGTAAACGAATCAATTTAGCATTTAATTTGTTTAAATAATAGTGATATATTGTTATCAAATGCACAACAATTATTTTCAATAAATGTGTTTCCAGTTGGTGTCGTTTGAGTGCACAGGCGTCAACTCAATGTTTCACCCGTATTTAATGGTAGATTGTACAAATTGTAAACACTATTTTTTATAGTTGAAACAAAATATGGACAGGTCTAATTAGTTACATAATTATTGAAATTAATTATTTCATTAAAATAATCTTTCCAGTAAAAGATTTATGCTCCAATAGGACTTATCAGTTTTCGGCTTCAACTAATCAACGAAAAGTCTAGTGTGGTACAGAGAGATAAATTATGCCCCTTACCTATAAAAATAATCGTATTTTGCATGATAAATGTTTAAAAAAAACTGGAGTAGGATCTAAAATATTCCTTTTTTAATTGCATACCTTATTCAAGTTGTTATTAGTTCTGCGATGAAATTTCTATGGTATTTAATAGAATTATATTTGTATTGTAATAAAACATGTCTGTGTAGTATATTTCTTTAACAATTAAATGTAATTAACCAAACTCAGCAAGGATCAGTCCCCCGTTACTATCTTTCAGTTTAATATTCATTTATCTTTGTTTAAGGTATATTATTATCTACAATTT